AAAACGCAATCAAAGTTCGATCAATTCACAGTTGGTATACCAAAATATAGATGGAAAGACACATACATTCTCCATTTTGGGGAAGCTAAATCGTCTGTTAAGCTGAACATATTCTCCTTATCAAGCTTATTAATTGTATGTTGAAATCACCAAAAACGTAAATTTTGAAGTACATCTGAATATTATTAAACATGCGATATGTACATACATATATACATATACATACATATGTATGTACAAAGTTAGCATTCTCATTTTAAACTAAAATTTGTTTAAGCAATGTTGCAGATTTGCTGATGGAGAAACACCTACAAAACTATTTATACTGGCATTCTTGAATGTAGTCAATTTTGAAAACAGCGCGTGATTTTACAAAAAGATTTTAAATTCATTTAGATCCTTAAAATACAAATTTCATGTCCTTTAACAATAATAATAAAAGCCAAAACTATTTCAAAATGTTTAAACCAAAACAATAATATCGAACACTTTAAATCGGAAGTTGAAAAATTCGTTTGAACTGAAGATCTTTACGATCAGTACATATGTTAGCATTTCTAATGCCTGCGCTTTTTTAATGAATTTTTAAAGCCTATACATTAGTGGAAATAGTAGTTGATCGTCACACGATGTTTAAAGGCACGGACGAAGGGAGCTTAGAATTTCTTTGAAATTTTTACAGTCTTACTTGTCGTCCCATGTCCGTCTGGAGTAGTGATCGTGTGAGTCTGGTGAGATGCGGCAAGCGCTCGTTTCATTAATATCTCGTTGCATTCCTCTGCAGTGAGATGAATCGGCCCGATGGGACTGAAATGCGTTTTAGCGCCAGCTGTTGTTAGAATGGTTTGTGACTTCGTGTCGACGATACCATTAGTCAGAGAATGTGACTGATCTGATTGATCTACAAGTAGGTCTAAATCAAAAGCAAATATTTTGTTTTGTTTTCAAACACTATTAAATATACTCGATTGGTGTGCATGGACTTGGATGCTTACAATTTTTGTCGCAGTTAATACTGAGCACTTGTTGTTGGTCTTGTTTCTTCACCACCGATGGTGTAGTAGTACCTGCAGTTATGACTCTGAAATAAAAGATAAATACCATTGCTATACTATAAATCAATATTAATTTTTAATTTGTTTTTTATTTTTAAGACATATTTTTACAAATTAAATATATTCCATAAGCGAACGCTCGACTTACCGTTGAGCTCCTGGTGCAAACGGTTCATTTACGACAAACATCCGACGAACAACTCCACCTTTCTGTGCTGTCAATCCCCCTTTAACATCTTTTTGCACAGTTAAAGCTCCATCTGTAGACAGTAGATATGGCATCTGCAAACAAATATTATTTTAATATGGATTTAATAGATATAGTAGTAGATTTGATGTGCATATATGTATGTATGTATGTATATATCATTTTCTATAGGTACAAAAGACCCTAAATGTAATTTTTGGGAGTTCGTAACACTAAACTAAACGGATCTGGTGATGGTGACTCTGAAAGGTATGTTGTTAAAAAGAACCCAAAAAATAATATGTGGTTTAATATGACAATGTCAGTGGCTTGGAGCACAGAAATAGCACTAAGAAACTGCCAAAATTAATAAAAAATTAAATTATACTTGTTGTTGTTGTTGTTGTTGTTGTAGCGGCTACTAAGCCCCGTTCGGGACGGTTCATCCATCATCGTTGTCGTCTATTTCAGCTAAGGGGAGGCCCAGGAAGTGTGCGACTTCCACAGGGGCTGTCCATAGGGACAGGGGCGTTAGCTGAGTGGGATTCTCAGGGCATGTGAAGAGGTGCCGGGAGTCATGTGGCGACTCTCCACATGCCGGGCAATGGTTGGGCACATCCTCGTTGATTCTGCTCAGGTAGCTGTTGAGCCTGCTGCAATAGCCAGAGCGAAGTTGGGCTATTGTTGTGCGGGTCTCCCGAGGCAGACAAAGTTCTGTCCCGTCCACGTCCGGTGGTTGTGTGCCTAGAACGGCATTCACAGGGCGGGAGTCTACATAACTTGAGACTGATTCCCTGTGAATGCCGTTGAGGGCCTGTCGGTAGGTTGTCGGGTCCAGAGGTTGTTTAATATACCTCTGGACTTCGTCTGTCAGTTCGTAAAGATGCCTCCTGACGTGCCGTGGCGAGGGCTCTTCCGCGAGCAGTTGTCCGCTGGGATGGCCACGTCTGTAGCTCCCAGCGAGGAACTGCTTGCAAAGCATTAAGTTATGCTCCTTTACCGGGAGCATCTGGGCCTCGTCATGAAGGTGATGTAGAGGCGTCATCAGGAGGCATCCTGTCGCGGTACGTAATGCCGTGTTAAAATTTAAATTATACTTATACATATCGTCGATGTTTTTGCAAAACCGCCCAACGGCACTCAAATTTTACAGGAGAGCGAAAAAACGGTTTATTCTTTGAAGGCATTGCCTTGATAGGCGGTATTTTCTCTATTTTACAAATCTGTTGTTTAATAACTGGGCGGGGTGATGGGCGGTTTTGCAAAAACATCGACGATATGTATTACTAGTAAAAATATTGTATGGGGGAGAAATCTGTCACGTACGTTATCACATTTTAATTCAAAGTTAAACCAATAACGAATTGCTTCTGATTAAAAATGAATTGGTTGGACGAATGTCAGGTCTCACATCATGGAAACATCCATATAGGATATATTTTACAATACGAAAAAATCTCACTTCAAAATTAAGTGTTTTGGATAAATTTGTCTTTCAGTGCACAAAGATAAAATATGGTTATGGTTTCTTACCAGTCACATTCATGAAAATAATAGTTACATAGAACTATGAAATCGAATCGTTTGGTATTTTATTGAAACGAATTTTATACACTAGTTATTTATCTATGTTAAAAAATATCTTTCACTGTTGTATAAGTTCCGAAGACAGTTATAATTCACAATTGTTCACTTTCTGTAGTAAAAGGTCCCACCAGTCCCAATGCAATGACACTATAGTATTTCTGCAAAAATTGAAAACATATGTCGCTTAATTTTCACCATGTCAAATTCAATGGCATTTGTACTCAAATAAGTGAAAGCACACTGTCAAATGGGATTAAAAACCGGTATTTCGATTGATTGCGATCAGGATAGATCTTTAGTCGTGTACATACGCTAAAGGTATGGATAAAGGAGATAAAATTGTGTCAAAATATGTCGGTGCTTTATCCAAAACTTAAGATGCGGTTAAACGTGGCAATGCAAGCGCCTTTTCTACGCATTTTGCTATCATAATGCGAAATCTAAAGTCTACTTTCCGATGTAAACAAACAGAGTCCTTTTGCAAATTTGCAGAAATCAGTTTCGAAAATAAAAATTGCAAGGCCTAATTGCAACAGAAATTAGGCAAATCACTTTCGAGAAATAAATTCAACTTGCTCGTGCTGGACTAGCAATTTTAATTTTTGTTGCAAGTGCTGTCAAACCAATCGAGTGTTGCCGTTCAATGCGTTTTTTGGCGAATTTGTATAAATATTATAAAAATGTGGAATAAAATATGAAAAATACGTGTAATTAATTGATTCTACTGATATGGAGTATTTAAATACTAATGCATTAGACATTTTGTGCCTGTTTTGTGCACATTTTAGCAGGTTTAGTATATTTTTCAGGTCATTAATTTTGTTATAAGCATAAAAATGTCTGGTAACATAGTTCAAAGTGGAGTGGTCGGCATTCACCATGTAAACAGACAAAAATTAGTATCGGGAAAGTTTGATTTTCAGAAATAAAAATTGCTTTCGAAAGCCACTCTACATGCAAGGTGTACTGCTCCTGCAATCTCTTTTGAAAATTCTTGAGTTTGACAGACTTGAAAAGGACTTGCATTTGCCGCGTCTAACAGCTACTTTACTCGTGTAAGTTGTCTTGCTCATGGCCTCAATAAAGTATGTGAAAAAATTCCCGAAAGCAATCAACAAGTAGACCAACTAATTGTCAGTATCTGTATCAAAAAAGTGTTTATGATGGCGCCATCATGCGTGGGTCTTTACCTGGAGGTACATACCTGGAAGCAGTTAGCTACTATGTATGTCAGATTGTTGGAGCCAGTGGAATCAAAAATTATTAAAATATCCAAAGAGTTATTGGATGACGAGAACCTTCGNAAATAAAAATTGCTTTCGAAAGCCACTCTACATGCAAGGTGTACTGCTCCTGCAATCTCTTTTGAAAATTCTTGAGTTTGACAGACTTGAAAAGGACTTGCATTTGCCGCGTCTAACAGCTACTTTACTCGTGTAAGTTGTCTTGCTCATGGCCTCAATAAAGTATGTGAAAAAATTCCCGAAAGCAATCAACAAGTAGATCAACTAATTGTCAGTATCTGTATCAAAAAAGTGTTTATGATGGCGCCATCACGCGTGGGTCTTTACCTGGAGGTACATACCTGGAAGCAGTTAACTACTATGTATGTCAGATTGTTGGAGCCAGTGGAATCAAAAATTATTAAAATATCCAAAGAGTTATTGGATGACGAGAACCTTCGTCAACCGCTTATTTTTATTTCGTGCAATTCTGGTTATCTAAT